GGCGATGGGAACCTAAACGGAAGGCCTCACCTTCCTCTGCATCTTCTCCAGCAGCTTGCTCTTGGCCCGTACTTCCTCCTGGATGGAGTCGTAGACGTTAAGCAGCACCCAGTCCCCGCTGTCCTCGTCCGAGTTCTGCAGGGCCGCCACCAGCTGCTTTTTGCGCTCGTCTGCGTAGCGTTTCCGCCGCTTGTGCTTCTCCTTCAGGTCCTTGTTCTTGGCCTGCTCCCCACCAACCACCTGCTGCTCCAGCAGCTGCAAACTGCCAGCGTGGAGGAGAAAGCAAACACGACAACATCTGCCAATCACTGAGCCCGTGCTGTCCAGCATGACCTCGTGGAATGCTTCCAACGACCCCACTTCACGGAGAAGTAGAATGAGGCTCAGGGAGGTGACCCCGCTGGCTAAGGGTCAGATCCAGGGTTCCTGCCAGATCCACGTAACTCCAAGCCTGTGCACCCCACCACGGCAGTGGCTATGCCCAATAGGAAGAGTGACAATCTCCTTGTGCACCCAGAGCTAACCTACCCACCACCTGCCACCCAGTGGTGATGGTCACCAGCAGAGCAGGCTACGGACTGTGCTCCCAGCACATAGTAGTTGCTCAGGTAATGTTTGGACTATGGATGTGGGACTGGGAGGAGGCCGGACCCCTGGCCATGAAGCTGACTTGGTCATGGAGGTGGGCTCGACATCATTCTCATTGACAGACGTGAGATTCAAGTGTCAGAAATGTTAAGTGGTCTGCATAGCCAGGGAGGAAAGCCCAGCTCCCTAGGTGGCCCCAGAGGATGTCTGGGGGTGGCCTGTCCTTAGGAAGAGCAAGTCCTCCATTGGGGTATTGGAGGCTCGGCTGGGACCTGAGGAAAGCCTGGGATCCCTGAAACCCAAAGGCCGGCCAGGCGTCCTTCACTGTGTCCAGGGCAGGCACCCGATGTGACCTGGTGGCACTTGTGCAGCTTGCAGAGCAGAGCCCCGCCCGTCCAGCTGAGCCTACGCCTTCCCTGCCCTGCTGCTCCTGGAGAGAGGATCAGGGCCCCTCAGCTGCATCGGGACGGGGAGCCAGGTGAGGCCTCGGAGGAAGGTCGGAAAGAACCTGTGGGCACCACCATCCCCACATCTGGAGCACAGCACCTTCCCGCCCTGCCAAGGGGTCCTGCCAGCCCCAATCTGTGGCACTTACCGGGCCAGCACCTGCTGCTGGTCTACAATGGGCATCAGGTTATCTGTCAGCACGGCCACCTCCACGCCCACACTGTCCTTTCTTGAATTTGTCATGGCCACCAGGGGCTGAGGCTCAACCTCAGTCTCCACACTAGGCTCTGCCTCCAGTACCACCTCCTTGGTCACTTCTGGGCCCAGATCAACCTCCTGAACACAAAGAGAAACACAGGTTAAGGTGGGAAGGCCAGCCCCTGGACTGAGCTTCCTGTGGCCTCGGTCCCACGAGGGGGCGTCGCAGCCCTCACATCTGGTACACATCACCTCTGGCTCAGAGACAACCAGTTAAAAACACACCCGATCAAGTTCCTACGGCCACCACTTGCCACTGCACTCATGGCAAAATCCCGTTTCTTCCATGGCCTGCTGTGCCCTCCTTGCCTGCTCCCTGTCTCCCCGCCCCTTCCCCGCCACCACCCATTCACCCGGCCACTTCTCTGGCCTCACTGTCTGTTGCTAGGAAAGTCAAGACTTTTCCGGCCACAGGACTTTGGCACTTGCTCGCCCCCTGGCTCCGTCTTCCCCCGTGGTCCCCTCTCAATGTCACCTTCTAGCCTGGGCTCTCCCGGCCACCCCATCTGTCGTCTACTAAGAACCTGCGGTGCCAGCTCCTACCCAGTGCTCGGGCCCAGAGGCTGGCGGACAGCTTTCTCTCTCCAAAAATGCGAGTGGATTTAAAGTCTTCCTCTCATTCCCTGCGGCCTGTTGTGCTTTCTTAAGCAGAAGAGAAAAGGGTGAAGGTCTGAGAGCAGCAGTGTTCAAAATGCGCCCCCTTGCTCTCGGGGGCCCCCAGCCACGGCCCGCAGCCCTCGCCCACTGCATACACTGGGCCTCTATGCTTTAGACAAGGGTTCCGAGTCTGAGGAAAGGGTGAAAATCACTGTGGCCTCTTATTCATTAATGATCAGAGGTGCGACAGCTCCTCCGATTTGTACCCTGCTTTGCAATGGGCCGTCTCTGATCCGCTGGGAGAGGGTCGGGGTTGTTGTTCCTGTTTTATGGATGAGGAAACTGAGGCCCAGAGAGGGAGGAGATAAGCGCAGTGTCACAGGAAGACCCAGGCCCCTGGAAGTCCTCCCACCACACAGAGGGCCAGCCCAGGGGTACTCACGGTCCCAGGCAGGAGGTCGCTGGCTACCTCAGCTTCGGGCCTGAGGTCATTGGGCTCCAGGACATCGGTCATGGAGGGGTGCTTGCAGGAGAATGGGTGGGGGAGGAAGAGGAATGGTTGGGCTAGATTCAGCCTCTGCTCCCCTGCCCCCGACCTCCCCTTCAGCTCCCCAACCCCGCCCCCTCCTGCCTGCCACTGTGGAAAGAAGGGAAGGAGGGGTGAGGAGATGAGGGGAGAGAACAGGGGACAGAGGGGAGGCAGGGCATGTTCTGAGCGCCCGCTGTGTTCTAGAAGCGTTACCCGCATTGCCTCATGCGAAGCGTGCGTCAGCCCCATTATAGACGAGGAAACAGAGGCCCAGAAGGGTGACTGCCCAAGGTCACACAACCAAGTGAGTGACACGGCTGGGATCTGGACCCAGGTTTTTCTGATTCAAAGGCCTGTGTTCTTTACACATACACGCGGGCGAGGCAAGGAAAGGGTTAAAGAGATGAAAGGGGAAAAAATTAAACACAAAAAATGAGAGTTGAAAAGGGAGAAGACGGACAGAGGGGCGGGGTGGAGGGAGAGCAGCGTGGCGGGTCCCGGGTGATGCCTGAGGAACCTGGATTCCCGGAGACCCCAGCCCGGCTCGCTGCTCTGAGCCTGCAAAAGCACGAGGGCTGACCAAGGCCACCTCCAGCTCTCTCTCAGGCCTGGAAGCTCAGTGTAACCATGGCAACACAGCAAACTCCCGTGCAGGTGTCCCTCCATCAGCAGAACAGGTGCCCACCTGGCATAGACTTGGATCTCGATCCCAACTTCCCTACTGATTTACAGAGCATTAGACAGAGCTTCTCTTTCCCAGACCCCTGAACACTAGCACCCTGAGCCAGCCACCAAGTCAGAGCCACCATGGAGGAGGTGGAGGTGGTGCTGGAGCCGCAGAGGTCAGACATCTGTGCACGCCCAATGACCTCCATGTCCCCAGCTGAGCTCTGCCCGCTGAATTTCTGCATGCCATCCTGCATGACATCAGCTACCTGCGTCAGGCCCTTGGGTACGTCCGCCTGGGGCACGTCTGCCCCAGCCATGGTGGAGGAGAGCATAGCCAGCTTTGCTTCTACTTCTGCAAATGGGTCGTGCAGGACTGGTAGCAGCTCCAGGGGCATCACCTGGGGCTCCTCATCCTGGAGGAAGGGCTCCTCCTCCAGCGGGGGGACTTCCTGGCTGAGATTCTCACCCAGGAAGTATTTGCTCTCGGCTTCCACCTCGGGCACAGAGAACTCCAGGTTGGAGGGCTCCGCGGGCCCAGGGAAGGCCTGAGACATGGAGGCTTCTTCGAGTGTGGATGACTCATCAGACCCAAAAGAAATCTCAGACTTGGAGGTCTCCATCTTGGGCAGGTCCTCAGACTGGGAAGGAACCTCAGTCTTGGGGACGTCCTCACTGGGTCGAGTGTCAATCATGGAGTAGATCTCAGGTTTCACGGCTATCTCATACTCGAAAGGAGGTGAGTAATCAGATATGTTGGCAAACTCGACCCTGGACATGACGTCAGCCTTGTAGAGGACTTCTGCCTTCAGGACAGCTTCTGCAAGTGGAGACCTTCTTTTAGTTTTTAAAGGTTAGAATGAGGGGACCCTTCCCTAGAAGCTGGTCCCAAGCCCACTGTCTCCAGGAGACCAGCTGAAGAGTCAGAGCCTCCCAGGATCCCCAGTTACTGGCTTTCTACCTCTGTCCCACTGCCCTCTGCCCATCAGAACTCAAACCCTATCTCCTACCACCTCTTCCAGGAAGCCTACCTTAACCAGTGCCATGATCTCTCCATTCTCTGACCACTCCAGCTGTTAGATGGTGGGCTCTGACCACCCTGCCTTGGGACTGCTCTTAACAAGCAAGCTGACTGCCTGTCGGTCTTACCGCCACCAAGGCTGAGAGCTCCCGATCATTAGCTTTCACCCCTAAGATGCCAAGGGTCCCCCGCTGGAGTGCCCAGCTCAGGACTCGTGTCCAAGGGATATTCTAGACCCATGGGAGTTTAGCAAACTCTGTGGATGAATGTTAGACTCAATAAAATCACTCGGAGACCTGCCCTCTGTCTCTGGGTCTAGACCGAGAGAGGCATCTTCCTGCCAGCCTGCGGGGGGGGCGGGGGGGCGCGGGGCGGGGCGGTGGGCCTACAATCACACAGGCCTCCTTAGTGCTCCCACCTCATGGGTATTAGGCTGACTCCTTTACATCTCATCTGCTGCTTGGTCGCTTGTGTCCTGTCCCCTGAGACAGTTTGGATGTTCCATTTGCTGAGAGAGGACATCCACTCCCTAGCTCAGTGTTCCTGAACCTCTCCAAGCCTTGTCTTGCAACACGAGGATTCGGTGAGTCCTGCCTCCATGAGGGAGTTTGGTGGAAGCACACACCCAGTACCTGGCACACAGCAATGCCCCCAAAATGGTACCAATGACATGACCAACATCGTCATCATTACAGGATGGATTTTGCAGTGTTTGGGTAAGTATTAGAAAATCCGAGCTGCTTGGCAGCATGGGTGTTTGAATGATAGTGACGGGGTGGAACAGTCTGGAATGTCAAAAAAAACTTCCAGGTAGGTTAGAGTTCTTGCTAATGATTGAATGCTTACTATGGGATGTGGTTGCTTTGGTAACAGTTGGGCTCAAAAGTGAGAGGAGACTGTTGAAGATGCAGAAACTTGGGGACGGGACTTACCCATAAAACATGAAAGATATGTCACAACTCCGTAAAGCTGGCCTTGGGCTGGAGCCCAACCGGTGGCCAACACCTCATGACACAGTGCCATGGGTAAAAACACTGGCTCTGGGGGCAGACTGCCTGGGTTCAAATCCTGGCTCCACTTTACCAGTGTGTGACCGAGTTACTTACCCTCTCTGTGCCTCGGTTTCCTCGTTTATGAAATGAGAGTAAGTGTGGTACCTAGCTCACCGGGCTGCTGTGCGGAGGAAATAGAATTGATCCTGGTAGTAGAAAGTGCCCTATAAACGTCAGTTAATATGATGAGGAAGAAAGCGGGCCAGCCGCCCCTCTGGACAGCCCGGGCGGGCGCCCACCTGTCTCCTTGCGCAGGTTCTCCTCCAGCGTGGACAGCTTCACATCGTATGAGCTGCGCATGGCAGTGATGTCCTCCTCCAGCCGGGCCCTGGACTCCTGCTCTGCCTCATAGTCCGCCCT